AGGCAACATTTTTCCAGTCTTCAACTGTCAAATTTTGGTGAACTCTTGCAAATTGTAGCCTCTTTTTCCTATTTGTAGTGGAGATGAGTGGTACCCGGTGGGGTCTTCTGCTGTTGTAGCCCATCCGCCTCAAGGTTGTGGGTGTTGTGGCTTCACAAATGCTTTGCTGCATACCTCGGTTGTAACGAGTGGTTATTTCAGTCAAAGTTGCTCTTCTATCAGCTTGAATCAGTCGGCCCATTCTCCTCTGACCTCTAGCATCAACAAGGCATTTTCGCCCACAGGACTGCCGCATATTATTGTGCCAAGTCGAAGTGCTCAAAAGCACTTGTTATGGTATTCCGCCATACAATATAGTCATCAATTTTAAACGCTTAGAAAAGCGCAACGGTTTATTTTGTGTCACCAGCCCAGGTCAAGTTACACTACTCGAGTAACTGTGTTTACATAGGGAAAACGTGGAAGTGTTTGGTCGCTTCTCTGCTTGGCCCATATTTAATGCATGGGCTAAGCTAAGTGCTAACATAGTTTTGCGGCAATACAGAGCGATATAGTGCACGCACTGAGACGAGAGAGGTATGTATCAACTCGTCTTAGTTAAGGGAATAACATAGTTTAATAAAAAAAACTGGTGGAGTATCCCTTTAAAACAAATGGTCTCATTACATATTACAATATTCTTGTGTTTGAAACAATGAATATGTGGACTGAAATGTGTATAACTGTAATGAAAGCATGGGATCAGGTTTTGAAAGAGTGACTAGCTGTGTTACAAGTGTGATCATTTTGGATTTTTGTACTAAGTTTTGAAAATGTACACCTTACTTGTGAAAATAGAAGAAAGCGAATAAAAAAAAACTGTTAAGGTATTTCACTACTTGACCATTTAAATACTGTATTAAATATTAATACAACATTCTCTCTGGATGCACTCTAGTTAGACCCAGACATTTGTTTTTTTCTTCCAAATTGCTAATTTTGCTATGCCCATAACATAGTTCAGGAGACAAAATATTGTCTTTGTTGACATTCTATACTTTACACCTATAAAAAATGCATTCTGAAAAAGTTTCACCAAATCCTCTTAACCATTAAGTCAAAACTCTAGAAAGGCCCTCCAATCGCTTGCAATCCAAAAATAAATGCTCCACAGTCTCTTCTTGGCTACAGAACCCACACTCCCCACTTACTGCTGGATTGAGGTGAGCCATATATGTTAGTAGCTATTGCCCTGTAATTAAGTCTCCACTGCAAATCTGCTGTTGGTTTCTCTAGTGGAAACTTATACAGGGACCTCCACTGATCTCTCAAGGTCTTGATCTTGATGCTGATCTTGATGCTGGCCCAAACTTCAATGTCCACCTCAATGGCAGCTATTCCTTCAGTGTGTCTTCGTGAACAGTCTTGACACATAGGTTATAGAAAACCTTTTTAGACATTTCATCAATTGTCCATGTCTCAGAAGTATCAGAATTCACTATATGATGGTCTTCCAACATGCTGTTGTTATAAGTAGAACGAATTAACAGTTCTCTTACGAGAGGTTCTCTCGTATTGCGTAAGTTTAGCTTACGCTACGGGAAAGATTCATCTTCTAAAGATATTGAAGCCAAAAAATTATCCTTAATTTTGTATTCATTGTCAACGCAGTGCAGCAGCTAGCAGACCTAGAGCAGGCAGTCTTGCGTGAGCCCCGCGTGACGTCACGCCCAATGAAGGGCGCCCGCGCCTTTATGGCGTCATAGCCCGCCAGAATGGGTGTGGCTTAGTGTATAAAAGAAGGGGCTGTAGGCTGAATTCCCTGATTTTCGTCTCTTCAGCGAGCTCTTCGCATCGCTGGATCTGAGAGAAGCCACCGCCGCCGTCGAACATCGAACAGCCAGCTTAGGACAGCGCTGAGGAAGCCGGCCGTCTTCGCCACCTTCAGCCATCCGTGCGAGCTATGCTATCCGGCGACGTATCCTTTTTACCTTGCAAAACCTATTCCTAAAAGAGCGCGAGTGTCTTTTTAAAGATGCCTCGCACTTCCTGCGGCTCGTGTAGGGCCCCGCTCAGCGTCGGAGACCGCCATGATCTGCGCTCTCTGCCTGGGCCTGGAACATGCAGAGCTCGCCCTCGCGTCCGGGAGCTGCGAGCTCTGTGAAGCGCTTCTGCTGTCTGTGGTAAAAGCAGAAATTTTTATACAGTTCTGCTCGTCCAACGAGCACACGGCTAGCTCTCTTTACGTTACAAGAGAGCTACCCGCCCTCGCGTCCCTGTTCGCGCGTCATGCAGAGCCCTCTCGAGCTCTCTGCATGACCCAGACGGGCTTGTGCGCCGCCGTCGAAATGTCTCGCCCTGTCAGTCCCCTTACATAAGGCTACTGCAGCGGTGTATTTGGCAGCCAACGCGATACCCCCCGTGTCTCCCGCAGAGCCCACTCTCTTAAAGCTGGCAAATGCCGCTCGAGTGCTAGATGTAGGAAACGTGCCCACAACTCTGTGCTCACGCCTATTTTTCTGCCCGCTCTGTCACATGGCCAGAACAGCCTCATACATGTCAGGTTAAGAATGTAAGTTACGTGCCCGCTCACGAGCGCTCACGCTTACTAACAGACACATCGCCTCCAAAAAAAAACGCGCGTCACGCTGCGGCTGGACCGCCGTCAAAGTTTATTTCCCTGTCAGTCCCCTTCAAACCGGCTACTGCAGTGGTTCATTTAGCAGCCAAGGAGCCGGTTTGTTCACCCTCTCGCCTGCACACAAACGCCGTTTTCACGGCGACCCAGAGAAATTTAAAAAAGAGTATAATGTCTGGTCCGGCTCATGCCGTTGGTGTTTTAAGTGTAGTGAAAGTGCCCACGCCCCAGTGTTCACCCCTACACACAAGCACATCAAATCTCGTGTCACTAACAGAGCACACTCCCATAAATTGCAGAAAAGCCGCTCGAGTGTTGAATATAATAAATGTGTCCACAGGTCTGTGCCCACTATCTGCCCGCTCTGTTACACGCTCAATAAAACAGGTTATGAATGTAAGTCTCGTGCCCGCCGGAGAGCGTTCACGCTTACTAACACACACCTCCCCCCGGGCGCCGCCCGTGCGTTTAAATGTTATCACAAAACGCAGGGCATTGATAAGACGCTCCCCATCCATTATGATCGGGGCGTCAAATACACTTGTAAGTCTCGTGCCCGCGCTCACGCTTACAGAAAGCTTTTCCGCCCAAAGCACTGCTCGCGCCTCAAAAGTGAGAATAAAATGCTCCCCACCCCTTATGATTGGGACACCTCACATAAATCAGACGGTCTCGGCTTTCAGCGAGCAGCCATTGCCCAGAACCGAGAGCGTGCGCGCCGCGCTTTCGGCTCCGGCTCAGCTTCACAAGCCCGCAAATGGCGGCTATCTGAACCCGTAGGCCATTCGCCCCCTAGCGGCTCACATAGCTGCGTGGGAAACTATCCCAGGGATTTTCAGAATGGGTTCTGAGCACAATAAAGCAGGGCTATACACTTCAATTCATTCGCCGTCCCCCGCGCTTTCGAGCCCGGACCGCGACGATAGTGAATGCGGAAGTAGCACACCTACTTCACGCAGAAATAGCAAAACTGCTGTGGAAAGGGGCTATAGAAAAAGTACCGCCTTCTCTGAGCGAGTCAGGCTTTTACAGCCGATATTTTCTCGTACCCAAGAAGGACGGAGCTTTCAGACCTATCCTAGATCTGAGACATTGAACAAGCCGCTTGCAAAAAAAACATTCAAAATGCTCACGACCAGAAAAATCCTCGCGCACGTTCGCCCAAGGGACTGGTTTATTTCTCTAGATCTGAAGGATTCTCCCTTTGAAAACGTTTCAAAGGATGCTGGGCTGTATGGCTTCAGCGGCAGCGGTGCTTCAGCTGGGCTTACTGCGCATGCGCCCACTCCAACGCTGGTTGAATGCTCGCGCGTCTCGCTGAGCCTGGGTTTCTGGCGGCCAGAAAATCAGAGTGACTCAGACCTGCATAGTGGCTCTGCAGCCCTGGTTAGTAGCCGACTGGTACCAGCAGGAAGTGATGATGGGAACCATCTCTTATCGGAAAGTCATTTCGACAGATGCGTCCAACTCGGGTTGGGGCGCGCTGTTCGAAGGCAGACCGGCCTTTGGCCAGTGGTCAGACCAAGAGAAGTGTTTTCGCAAAGAGAAGCGCTTCCTCCCGTTCATACAGGACCAACATGTTCTCGTCCGCTTGGACAACATGTCTGTGGTTTCCTATGTAAACCGTCAGGGCGGTGTCAGATCCAGAAACCTCTGCAATCTGACGGAACGCATCCTTATTTGGTCCCAGATGCGCATGTGCCTGGCCATTTGAACGACGGCCCAGACAAACTGTCCAGGGATAACGTTCCCCCAGGGGAATGGTCCCTGCACCCCCAAACAGTCCAGAAACTGTGGCGCCTATTCGGCAGAGCGGAAGTCGACCTATTTGCGTCAAAAGACAACGCTCATTGCCCGATGTTCTTTTCGAAGAACGAGGACGCGCTGGCCCAGGTCTGGCCCAGCCTCCCACTGTATGCTTTCCCTCCGGTCTCCCTGTTACCACAGGTGATCAAGAGAATCAGGGAAACGCGCCACTCGGTGCTCCTCATAGCTCTGCACTGGGAGAATCAGAATTGGTTCCCGGAACTAGCACGGCTGTCACATGCAGCTCCGTGGCCTATTCCGGTGAGGGCAGATCTCCTCTCTCAGGCTCGCGGCTCGATCTGGCATCCCCATCCAGAGTGCTGGTCTCTGCACTAGGGGTGCGCCAAAATATCGATATGGCGATATATCACAATATTTACTCCCGCGATCGATTCTCGATGCGCTCTTGCCAAGTATCGATCTTAAAAGCCGTTATAAAACGCTCTATTCATTATCCCTTGATGAGACCCTCCAGAAGTAGATAGGGGGCGCGCGTTGCGAGTTTGGCTGTTGTGGGCGTAAGAAGACGTAAACACACTTGAAAATGGCGGAGTCAAGCAGGGAAAGTAATAGTGAGAGCAAGAAGTTAAAGGACGCTCCAGCAACATTTAAATCCAAAGTGTGGACTCACTTTGGATTTTATAGCAGTGCGGACGGGGCAAAGCTAGAAAAGGACTACGCAATATGCAAGAACTGCTTGGCAAAAGTCCGCTACACGGGAAACACGACAAACATGCACAGCCACCTCACGCGGCATCACCCGGAGCTCTGTGAGAAAGCCGTGGTTGGTGCTGGCTCGAAGCCGACACACCCCGGCGTAAACACCTTTTTCCAGGCAAAGCTACCACCTTGTTCTGCGAGGGCAAAGTCAATCACAAATGGGATCGCTGTTTACATGTGTAAAGGGCTCCGTCCGTACAGCGAGGTGGAGAACGAGGGGTTCTGCTTTTTGATGAAAATCTTAGAGCCACGCTTTGATATTCCCTCTCGGAAATATTTTTCTGAAAAAATTATTCCTGCACTTTATGACCAGACCAGGGCTAAAGTTGAGTCGGCACTCGAGTCGGCAGAAAGAGTGGGGCTCACGTGTGACGGGTGGACATCGAGAGCCACGGAGTCCTACATAACGTTCACTGTACATTTTATAAACGAAGACTGGGAAATGAAGTCATGTGTCCTGCAAACCCGAGCAATGCACGAAACGCACACTGGGGCACACATTGCCGATGTACTGAAAGCCACAGTGGGGGAGTGGAATCTTGACGCTAAGAAGCCAGTGGTTGTCACCGACAATGCATCAAACATGCGTGTAGCAATGGACTTAACTTGATTCCAACATGTTAGATGTTTTGCTCATGTTTTAAATCTTGCATCCCAACGTGCGCTGAAAATAGCTGCTGTTTCCAAGGTACTTGTCAAAGTTAGGAGGATCTCAACATTCTTTCATAGAAGCACAACTGGAGCAGAAGCACTGAAAAGAAACCAGAAACTCCTTGGCCTCCCCCTTCACAAGCTCATCACGGACATGCCTGTTCGTTGGAATAGTGCCTATGAGATGGTCTCCAGGTTTCTTGAGCAACAGCCAGCTGTCTGTGCTGCCCTCTTATCAACAGAGGTAAGAAAAGTGTACAATGTAGAAGTTGTAATCTATATGTGTAATAAATGTGAATAATTTATCATATACAATGAATAAGTATGTAAATAAATACTAAAACATATGATTTAAACTTACTTGATACAATGAATAAATACTGTATACATACTAAAAAGGTATATATAATATAAACTCCAAATAAAAACATTAGATTTTTAGATAAGAACATCATACAGTTCATGCTTTATTTGCTTTAAAATATAGAACAATAGTTATATACATTTTATTAATAAATTGTATTTTGCCTTTTTTAATTTTTTTATTAAGGTGAGAAAGAATGTGACTGACTGTGCTCTGACAGAGAATGACATCTCAAGCGCTGAAGAGATGGTGGAAGCACTTAGACCAATGCTTGTGGCAACAAATATCATGTGTGAGGAAAAGAATCCCACCATTTCAGTGGTTGCTCCTCTTCATGCCCAACTGCTGCGAGACACAACCGGCACTGAAGAAGATTCCCCTCTGGTTCGAGAGATTAAGGGAGCCATCAATCAAGACCTTTCAAAGAGATATCAATCAGAGGTGGAAAAAGATCTCCTACGCATGTCCTCAGCCCTGGACCCTAGATTTAAATCCCTTTTATTTCTGTCACCTGAAGAAGTGCAAGACACTTATGCAAAACTACAGTCAAAAGCTGCAGCTTTAAAGGAGGATGATCCAGTGCCTTGTGGTGATGTTCAGGGGGATTTAGAGGAAGAGGAGACCTGCACAGCAAAGAAAAGAAAGTCTGCACTTGTTGATCTTCTTGGTCAAACCTTCAAGAAGACCTCTTATGTCTCTACATCAGCAACCTCAATTGCAGAGAAGGAGATAAAACAATATCAAGATGCTCCTTCTCTGCCTATCACTGAAGATCCACTGTTGTGGTGGAAATCTCAGCAACATGTGTTCCCTCTCCTCTCCAAGCTGGCCCATATGCATTTGTGTATTCCTGGGACCAGTGTAGCAGCTGAGAGGGTCTTTTCAACCGCAGGAGATATCATCAGTGCCCAAAGAAGTTCACTCACTCCTGAACATGCTGACCAACTCCTCTTTCTCAAGAAAAATATGAACCTATAAAACACATCACATTAAGCTGTTTTCTATTTTGTTCTGATTTTTTTTTTATTTTTGGATGCACTTTAAGTTGGGTACATTTTAGATTTACTTTATCCCTGATATATTTATTTTTTATTTGAAAGCAGTAGCCCAAAGGTTTATGTTTCTTGCACTTAATAGTGTCACTGTTCATGTTTATGAAGGACAATCATATAGTATTGTTTACACTGTATCTGTCCTCAGCCTTACAGCTATTTTGCACCCAAATGGTGTCACCGTTTGTCGAAGACATAGTATTACTACTTATTGCAGCAATGTTACACTAAAATAGTGTCTGTGACTGTTTTGTTGCAACTGATAAGACACAAGTTGTTTTTGTTATTGTGTTTCATCCAAAAAAAATAAATGGAGATTCATTTTCCTAATTAAAAAAAAAATATTTGTATTTCTTAAAACATGATATATTGTGAGTTATTACTGATAATATATCGATTATCGCAGTATCGCCATATCGTGATATTATCGGTATCGTGAACAATGTATCGCGTATCGTATCGTATCGTGAAGTACCCAGCGATTCCCAGCCCTACTCTGCACGCATGGTTGATCAACGGGTACTCGTTGCCCTGCCAGAAAGAGTGATGAACACGATCACGCAGTCTAGAGCTCCTTCCACGAGAAGGCTCTATGCGTCTAAATGGTCGATGTTCTCCAAGTGGTGCACCGACAGAGATCTGTCGGTGCACCACTGTCTCAAAGTTTATGTGGCGGCCGTGGCGGCGTTCGCAGAATCAGTCAAACATGTGGGGGACCTGCACGCGCTGTCAATCAGCGCGACGTGTCTTGAGTTCGGGCCGAATGACTCTAAAGTCATCCTCAAACCTAGACATGGCTATGTTCCATAAGTGATGGGCACTCCTTTTTCAGAGCGCAAGTCATTTCACTGTCGGCTCTGCCAGCGTCAGACAGTGAGACAGACGTGAATCTCCTTTGCCCGGTCAGGGCGCTGAGATTTTACACTACGCGCTCCGCCTCTTTCAGGCGCACGGAGCAGCTGTTTATTTCATTTGGTGGGCTGGAGCTCCCCGTCTACCTTTGTCAGGTTCTATAACCTAGAAGTTCCCGCCCTGCAGGCTAAACTTCTTTCAGTCTAAGCGAGTTGTGCGTTCTGCCCAGATATATCATGCTCAGACCACTCTCACGTGACTCAGCTCTCCTGGTTGAGCTGCACTAGTAGGGATGTGCTATATGCTTATACAGACCAGTGCTCTGCTCTGTATTCCCTATGTGTGCTTATGTACGAGTGATGGCCCGCGTGGCTGGCCACCTTATTTTTCCACTTATTGGGTTCCCCGAGAAACCTCGGCGACTCATGGGTGGTTGCTTGGCGCGCACGGCGTTGACAAAAAGTTCCCGTAGCGTAAGCTAAACTTACGCAACTCGGTTACTAACGTAACCTTGGTTCTCTCTAGAGAGGGAACGAGTATTGCGTAACCGGCCGTGCTCGCGCCACGAGCGACTTCGCTTCAGTTGACGAAAACCAGGGAATTCAGCCTACAGCCCCTTCTTTTATACGCTAAGCCACGCCCATTCTGGCGGGCTATGACGCTATGAAGGCGCGGGCGCCCTTCATTGGGCGTGACGTCACGCGGGGCTCACTGGTAGGCTGCAGCACATGCCCGCAGGGCAGCCAATGAGCACGCAAGACTGCCCTGCTCTAGGACTGCCTGCTCTAGGTCTGCTAGCTGCTACACTGCGTTGACAATGAATACAAAATTAAGGATAATTTTTTGGCTTCAATATCTCGAGAAGATGAATCTTTCCCGTAGCGTAAGCTAAACTTACGCAATACTCGTTCCCTCTCTTTTGAGGAATAAAATCAGTCTGTTCATTCAGATCTTAACCTTTGTATAACTTCTCTGTAAGAACCCGGCAGAAAGGAGCAAATTTCTTCTAAAAACCGCATGGCAAGATGTGGAGATCGCAGTCCCGTCAGGTACATTATATCCTCCACAGACTTCCAGCCATCTGGATTGACCAAGTCCTTCAACTTCGTGCAGTTTCTTCTCAACATATTCTCCTGTACGCTCCTAGAAGACATCAGTGTACCATGAACCCCTGGATTGTGAAAAAGTGGTTCCTCCAACACCCAGTTTTTAGGGATCTCGAAAACTCTTTTAATCTTGAAGGTTTTATCCCATGCTCCATTAGTCTCTATCAGGTCCATCTCTTTAATTTGTATCCAGAAAAGATGTATATCATATTCCAACCCCTGTAGTCTTTGCAGAATTGCACCTGCTGTACTAATCCATGTCAATTATTTTCTACACAACAGTTTTTGTGCTGAAATCAGTCTGAAAGCTTGAATTCTGCTCTTAATATCGATCAAGCCTTGTCCTCCTTCACACCGAGGCAAATAAAGTTGTCCAGCATGAATCCAGTGTTTACCATTCCAGAAGAAATCTACTAGTGTCTTTTGTATAGAAACCACCAATTCATCTGACAGTTCAACCACCATTAGCTTATGCCACAACATGAAAGCAGCCAAATTATTAATGACCAAAACTATCCCCTTATAAGATAGTTGTGGTAACAGCCATCGCCATCAAGATAATCGGGCAACCACCTTCTCCAGCAGTCCCTCACAGTTTTTCTCCTGAAATTTAGAAGAACCCAAAAAAACATCCAGGGCTTTAAAACTTTCTCTACCCCACTTTAATCCACCTGGTAACTCTGGATGCCTTTGATTTATCCATTGACCTACTAGGGGTTGAACGACTTCAGATTTTTTGAAGTCGACTGTTATGACATCAAAGTCGAGTCGACGTCGACTAGTCGATGACGTCATTCATAAAAACACAAGAGATGGGACTGCTTTGCAACATGCCACAATTTGCAAGGAATTAACAGAAAATTATACAGATGCTAACAGACAGCTCATAATGGGGTCGTTTACACCTGGTCACTTCATGCGTTTTTACTGATCTGATTTATCAAAACGATTCCATTTAGCCTACACCTGGTCACATAAATATGTTTTCGCAAAACAGATATAAATCCGATCTTCAAACAACGCGCTATGCAGATTTAACGGAGTTCACGTCACCGAAAGCAACAATAATGAGCTGCATTTTATTGATCATCAGCTAATTTCAAAATCAAAGACCGCAATAAGAGAGACAGCACTGGTAAGATCATTTTGTTTCTTTACTTTTAATGAAGATGATTGTGTGTTAAGCGTCTGCGACTTACTTTCACTTTGATGCGATAGTTTGCACGTTGGCTTGATGAATAGATGCTCGAGCTGCTCATCTGCGGCGATGCTTGTTGCCATAGCTTCATCGCTATAATACGCTCTCACACGTTTATTTTTAGCATTGTTGGGAGAAGTCCAATTTACATATGTGGTTTCAACAACCAGATGCATTTACACTTGTCCAGTTTCGTCTGTTAATCGGCCCAGACCTCCTCCTGAAGCGGTTTGATTTAAATCCGTCTCGAGTGCGTTTCGGAGGGCATTTACACCTGGTCTTTTCACGATCGGATAGCTATCAGATCACAGAAACACATGATCATTATATCATTACATTATCATTTAGGATGAAAAGAAAAAAGAAAAGGAAAAAAAGCTATAAATTCACATCTGCGCCTTAGTGATGCGCAGATCCAAGTAATACAAAATAATATTCCAATTAATTGCGGGTGAATTAGCTACATCATTAATATGTTTAAATAAATAAATGAAAAAAAATGTTTTAATGATTTTAATAAATATACTGAACTCTCATTTCCGGTAAAACAGTGAGCGTGCGTCATGCTTTTACTTTCGTTTTCAACAATATAGTGTTAGGTTAGTAAAGTATTTACACACACTTGATGTTCCAATGCTGCTTTCTTGCTGCAGTGACCCTCTGGGCTCTTCATCTGTTGTCGTCTGCAACATGTTAGTATCAAAATTAGCGCAATCATAGTGTCACATGATCAACGCGACTAGTCGACGTCAAGCTTAAAGCGTCGCGGTATTTCATTAAGGTCGACTAGTCGACTAATCGACTAGTCGGTTCAACCCCTATGACCTACTGTATATGCTTCACTCTCACTCCAATTTACTTTTGCAGTGGTTGCCTTTTCATATACCTCTATGCTTTTTGTAAGACTGTTAACATCTTCTTGTCCATTTAAAAACACTGATATCATCAGCATAAGCAGATAGCACAATGTCATTTTTCAAAACTCTAGACACAAAACTCAAAACGATAATCACTTGTAACACAGGCTGTCTAATGTTCAAAACATTGCATTGTGCATTCACATCTTTAAAGAAATCTTGCACTTGCACAATCATTGGTTCAAAAAACAAATTAACTGTGAAATACCATTGAAACATAACTATAGATCACCCACACACAAGCAACCGATAGTTTCACTGTGTCATTGTTCGTACAATCATTAAATATTGTAGAGCAAAATAGGTGATACAGGTTTCATTATGGTACTACATGTACAGTAAATACATCTCTGTAAAAGTACTGCAGTAGTAGAGAGAATATTACAGACACAGTGGAATCATTGTGAACAAAGTTTGTAATATATTGATGCAAAACACTACAGTACAATCACAACATGGTTTTTTGAATCAAAGCAAAAATAATTAGCTATGAAATAGAAAAGAAAAGACAGTACTGTAAAACATCAAATGCAGTGTTCCTCAACTTGCTGTAAGAAACTAAACAGGAGTGATTACTGTACTTCTACACTGTCATCAACTCTGTGTTGTGGATTTGGCCACAGGTTCTCATCTACATCACAATGGATGTTGGAAAATGACATCTTGGAAAAAACCTTTGGCATGGCGAGTCCAGGCCTGACACTGCTCTGCTGTGATTGGCAGAATTGGACACGCAGTTACAAGGGCCTGCATCTATTTAGTACTGTACTGTCAATACTGTACATAGTCTGAAAAGGTGGTACAGTATTTGGCACCATAGACACAGTGTCTGATGAAGCATTACAGTATGATAAAATATTAGGCTACATCCATGGATATTGTAGTCTAATTGGTTCATGCCATGCTAATTGGTGACAATGCATCTCATTATCTTGAAACTTTCATGATTTACTGTAAACATGGAAGATTGTGTGTCTGTTTCCATACAACTATGCATTAAGAGTAATGCAACAGTTACTTATCATTTTGAGCAGTTGTATCAATTGATAGTTAGATCATTGTAAGGAAATGAATAGACACTCATTTGAAATGTAATGTGTGAATTGCCTTTTGAAATAGTAGTACTTTGATGTTAAGTTGTGTCATATTGAACAGGTGATCTTTGTTGAATGAACAAATGATCTAAGTTTTATGTGTATTGTATCCAAGCAATTGAGAAAAGGGTTAGAGTTTTGAAAAATGTGCTTTTTGATC